TTTTTTTTTTTTTTTTGGATTTTTCACACCCTTTTTCCAACACTTGATTTATTAATTAAGGTACATACATATATATAAATTATCCAAGTAATTAGCTTGGTTAATCACGGCGTTTGCTTCTTGCCCGTTTATAAAAGTTTTATATCTTTTACACCAAAATAATTTTTTACAAAATTTATTGTTTAATGTGAACCTTAAAAATTCAATAATAATTTTTTTCAATAAAAATAAAAGATTTTATATATGAATCATAGACTTATAGAAATATATAAGGAGATGCAAAGAGGTTCTCTCTCATTGAGTTATCAATCAAAATAAAAAAAAGAAGAAGAAGTGAATAATCAATAAATCTTTGACTTAATTAAAAAATTAAACGCTATAGGATCCACACAAGTTAGGTAATTGGGGGAAAATATCAGTGACCTAACCTCCGTGGCTTCATTATATGCATGCCCCTCTCAACTTACCCCTAAAAACCTAATTAATTTTCTTTCTTGACCATGATTATTAAAACTAACTAATCACATATTTGAACTAAAAGGCCAATTGATTATAAATTTTTAGTGCTGAATTTATCCCCCACTCCCCAAATATGTACCTGTTCAAAAAAAAAAAAAAACTAATCATTTTTGCACCATCCACGTGGCCTGCCATAGAGAGGGTATATATTTGGTTTATGGGGGTCTTGAATTAGTCAAATGGATGCCTCTTCTACTTTCCATGAAGGAGGACTTTATTGTTCAAAACGGGTCCATTACTCCATTACCTTTTGTAAGGGCAACATATTGGTGGGAAAGTTTGGTTACCAGCCCCCTTTTTGGACCAATATTGAAACTATAACCATTGACCCTAGCTTACATATATATATATATATATATATATATATATGGGCTAGGTGGGTATTGTCTATATTATAGGGTTCTAAATTGCAATCTTTTTTCCTACGAAGAAAAATAGCACACGACCAACAACATATTAGTCTGAGTAGAAAGAATTCAATTTTTCTTAAATAAAATCTTAAATTCAAGTCTTGTGAATAAAAGAAACAGTCGTTGAAAGAGTTTTCACTCTTATGGGGTCTGATGTGACTTGATTCTAAATTAGTTAGGATTCAATATGATTGTGAAATACCAAGAGGTTGCTACAAAAAATAAAATGGCACACGTAAACATGCCCCAAGTCATTCACCAAAAAAAAAAAAAAAAAAAAAGAAGAAAAAAAAGAAGAAAAAACAGAAAACAAAACATCCCCCAAGTAAAATTTGAGTTTCACAAAGAAGAAAAAATCAATGGCACTAAGCCTATGTTTAGATAAAAATTAATGAAGGAAGTAAAGGGGAGGGGAGGGGAGGAAAAGGAAGGAAAAGTGAAGGAAGAAAATGTTGATATTAGTTTTGTTTGAATAGACAAAAGTAAAGGAAAGGAAAATATTTTTATTTAATTAAATAATTTAATAAAAAAATAAAATAAACAAGAATAAAAATTTTAAAAATTATTAATTAATAAATAACTAAAATAAAACATTTATATATATTTATTTTAAAAAATTAAATACAAAAATAAATTAAATAAGATAATCAGTTGCAGTCTCTCTCTTGTTTTCAACCTCTCTAATTTGAAGGGATTGAAAACAGAGGAATGAAAATAACTCCTCCATTCCTCTTCTTTCCATTAAAATTATTTATTCAAACAACTGAATGTGCTCCCTCCATTCACTCTCCCCTTCTTTCCCTCCTCTAACTTCTCCGATCCAAACAAAGTGTAAATTTCGTCAAAAAGTCAAAAAAGACAGCTTATATTTTCTTTCCTAAATTTAGCAAGAAGTCTGCCATATTGGACTAAATTCGATCAAGTCCCTTCTTTTTTTATCAAGTCCCTTGAGATGCATGTTGTTTGTGTTCTACATGGTAAATCTGCATAAATCTTCACCAAATTTAACTTCTTTCTTAGACAACGTCTGTCCTTGACATACCTAATTTTTGGACCACTTCATGTATAAGTGAAAATGTGTTTGCTTGCTCAAGTATAAAAAGACTATATATTTTACTATTAATGAATAAAAAAGGGATGGAAAAGTATGGGTAGAAATGGACTTTCATGCACATGAAATTTGTCTATTTTGATCTAAAAATTTGGAGGTTGTAATGTTAACACGCAGTAATAGCGAAAGAAGGAAAATGCATTTCCTTGTATATGAGAAAACTAGTGACATAACAAGGTCCATGCAAAGTTGATAATTGAAAATGGTTTTCATCTTGCAATATAAGAAGTTTTTTTATTCAAACTCAAATGCTTAACTTAGTAGAGAGAACTATTATTTATTATGTAGTTCATTATCGTATAAAAAAATAAAAATTTCATTTTTTTTTTTTTGTTTAATAGTTTGGATGTTTTAAGATTAATTTGCATATATATCAAAACTAATTTTTCCCTAGTCTGATAAAAGGCATATCATTTATTCCAAAACTAAGAAATTCATGAAAAATTACATTTTTATTAATTTTTCTAAGAAATTAAACCCTAATCAATAAAATGACAAATACACTCCCTTATCAATTAAATTATTACTCTTTAGGTATAGCCATTTCATTCTTTAATTGGACTCAGGTAAACCGTATTCAACAATGCAAAAGATAGCATGAAACTGAGAAAATAAAATTAGATTTATTCAATGAAGGAGGTATTTTTTTAAGCTCGAGAGGACAACAATTCTTCCCAATTACAAAGCGAAAGTTAGGGAACATTACCTAAAATCTTCTTTTACATTGTTTTAATATGACTTCTAACTAAGTGACTGCCATAGACACTCCTACCATTCAAACAGAACCTAAGCTTGGGGAGATATTTTAATTTTAATAAAAGGTAAATTCAACAGCATAAGACCTTGTGTTAATTAAAAATTGCTTTATCATTTGGACAGGGACCACATGGTAAAGCATGTCTTTAATCAACAGTTTGGGAAATTAGTGGCCAAAACTATGGGCCGGATATCTATATCTAATATCTATGGTGTTTATACTTATACCTTGTTATATTATAATATCAGAAAATACGGAAAAATTAAGGTACAATCGTCAAATTAATCAGCTAAAATGGAGATGAAATTTTTTGTTAAAAAACAAAAAAAACAGAGGATAAACGTGAAAAATAGAAATAATGATTAATGCTGGATTGTTGGCCCCAAGAGGAAAAAAATACTATATTTCTAGAAGATTTTCTTCTTCTCCGGCCTTTGCATTGATATCTGACTCCTCAAGCTACTTTAGTACATAAGACATGTAGATACAATACAAAAAAAACTAACCCTCATTCTCTCTCTCTCTCTCTCTAGACATGTAGAATTTCATTTTTGCCGAACAACAGAGACTGGACATGGAGAATTGGCTTTAGCTTTTCTACTTTTTGTGCAACCCCCTCCATCAAGAAAAGCAATAGAGACCCACAGAACCAAACCGCACAGCAATTTCTGCTTCTGCCTATAAGACCAGCCAGAACCACTACTAAACCCCACCTTCCTTTCCCTCCCTTTCCCGTCCTTTTCCCTCAATCCAAACAGAACGAGAAACAGGATTCACATTTGTAGCAGAATGGATAATCAACGAAGCCCTCTTCTCAGTTGGGCTTACTTCTGCCAAGGAAAGGTAAGGGCTTTCTTCTTCTCTAGAGTCTGGAGGAATTAACTTCTGTTCTTGTTTGTAAGATCATGAATTTTAATTGGTTTGGTCTGCTCTTTCAATTTCTTGGGTCAGTTAAGGTAGTAGGTGTCTAATTCTTCTAAATTTGGTTGTGATGGTGCAGACAATTGAGGAATTAAGGCATTCTCTGTTGTGTGCCTCTTTGGAACTAGAACAGACCAGAATGTGGGCTCAAGAAGAGCTGAAGAAAAGAGATGAACAGCTTATTCAGCTTAAGGATCTGTTGAGCAAGACATGCAGAGAAAGAGATGAAGCTCACGAAAAATGTCAAAGATTTCTCTTCGAGAAATTCTTGATTCAACAGCAGCAGCAGCAGCACCAGCACCAGCAACAATGGCAACAAAAGCAGCAGCATCAGCAGCAGCAGCAGGGGGCTCCTCTTTCTGGAATTTCCAGCATTGAAGATGAACCCAGAAGAGGAATTGACTCCACCAATGGCTTCTCCTCCTCCGATTGTGAAGAAAGCATTGTTTCCTCCCCTGTCCTTGACTCAATTCAGCAATCCCAATTCCCACCAGCCCCACCACCGCAGCCTCTGCCACAAGCAACCTTAGAATTGGTTCCTGAAAAGCCACTCCCTGAAAAGGGGAAGCTTTTGCAGGCAGTGATGAAAGCGGGTCCACTCCTACAGACACTTCTCCTGGCTGGACCACTGCCTCAATGGAGACACCCACCACCACCGCTTGAGTCCTTTGAGATTCCACCGGTGACCATTCCTTCACCACCACCACCACCACCACCACCGCCACCGCAGCTCCTCCACCACGATATCCTGACCACCATTAACAGCTGCAACACCCTAAACTCGTGCGGTAAAGTGAATAGGAAAAGGGTTGTGTATGATGGGTCAGAGTCTCCTAGAGAAGCCAAGTTCCAAAGAATAGTTCTCCATTGACTACTGGTAGTACTACTAATATTAGTATTAATCTATATAGTATTTACCATCTTAATTAGTAATTAGAAGGTGGGATGTGGGTATGTGACTGATCTAGAAATCTAGCATGCCATTTTTTGTACAGAAGAGGTTGAAGAAGATGTCCAACTTTAACTCATTTGAGGAGATAAAGAGAAAACGAGGTTTTGTATGGCGATGTGCCAAAATGCTCTTCGGGTGAAGAACATTTTTTTTCACTCTCTCCTTTTTTTTTCTTTTTTCACATTTTGGGTGTGAAATCTCTGAAATTGGATGTAAAAATTGTGACTTTCTCTTTTTTTTTTTTTTTTTAGATGCTAGTAGTAGGCTTTGTTTTAGTGTGGGTTTGAGGAATTGCATTAAGGAATCCAAAGAGTGAAGGAGTTGTTAGGGTAAGGCCAACCAGAGAGGGACTGGTTGTCGGGTTAGTGGATCCCACATATCTGAACTGGATCTGTTATTGGTGTGATGATGTATTATTATTGATTTTGATTAAATTAATTAATCCCTTTTGGATGAGGGATGGTAATCTTCCTCTTCTACTCATTTATACTGCCACTAATCCTTTGAAAAGGCATTTTGCGTGCAATATTAGAATTTACAAGACATGATGGGTATCTGCATATGTTGATGAAAAAAGGCATTTTATTTTATAATAGGGACCAACTTATACCGGACTAAAATTTAAGAAAATTTTATATCAATTTTTAACTATACAATTTAGAATTTAAGGATAGTTTTTAAATTTTTAAATGTTGCATTAATTGGTTATTGAAGTTTTAAAATTAGGGTTATGTTAACTTATACAAGAGTATTTTTTTCATCATAAATGTATACAAAAAAGTGCAAAAGTTATATTTTAATGTTAATATTGAGTAGATGAATTTAATTAATAAATTAAAAATTAATTTTTATTGTTTAATATAAATTTATAATAAAAATATATATTTATTGTACTCTTAAAAAAAAAAAACTCTTAAAATAAAAGGCTTAAAGTTACCAAAACATTTATGCAGATATACTTTCATCCTAACTCCTTATTTTTAATTTAAAAAGACACTAGTAGAATTGAGTAATTTCTGCT